ACACACACACACACACACACACACACACACACACACACACACACACACACACACACACAGGCCGAAACCGAAACCAAAACCGAAATCTGTTTTTTTTCTTTTTAGAAACAATAATATTTTCAGGATTACAAAATACAAATAATTAATTTGAAAAACTAGTATTTTATTTATACATGTAAAAATATAGTATATTCTCCCCACACAGCATCCATCCATCCAGACATCCATTAGACATCTATTGGATATCCCTTACGAAAAAGAACTACTGGCAGTAATATATTGCGGCAGTGGTAAACGAAAAAATTACTGGCATTCTGTGTAATTACCAGTAATATTCTCAGTGATTCCTGTAATATCTGATGATATTCTTATGTGATTGTCAGTAATATTTATATTACTGACTTTATTTATATGTAATCGGCAGTAGTTCTCTTTTGTAAGGGATGTCGCATGGAGCTGTCGACGTCTAATGGAGTTTTTGTTCTGTGTGGGTCTTTTACAAGAACATCTGAAATTATAGTTGTATTATATGTAATAACGTCAACATACATTAAGAAGGTACTGAAGCGTCTATATATAATATCGTGACTACCGTTACCGATACAATTAACATCAATGATAGAGCTTCGTTAGAGAACACACATATGTAAAAAGAGACTATGTTAGATTTAAACGTAGTTTAGATCTTTTGTCTATTGTAGGTTTCTAAATCATAGTCTGATGATCTTATTACATTCTCTGGATAGTATTTCTAGTTTTCTCTCTGTCTGTTCTTTTTCATATATTAACTTTAAACTACAAAAAAAAAAAAAAATACATTAGATCGAGATATCAGTAACTGCAAAAACATTTTTGTTTAATTTTTAGAAAATTGAGATCCGACAGATCTCTTTGAGATACTATTTTCTTTTATTTTTTAAAAAATCGTTTGTCTGACCGAGCAGTAAATACAAAAATAAATCTAAACTACTAATTACTCGTTCGATCGGTAATAACAGATAGGTCCAGTACCCTCGACGTCAGTCATGAGAACAGCAGATTGTTCCCGCAGTTCGAGAGTAGCCGTTGAAGAAACTGCATAATCTTAGCGTACAAAGCAAAACTGTCTTTTAACAAGAATTAATATAAACAGTATATAAACAGTGTAAAATAAAAAAAAAAACGTTGAATCTCGTATCCTGAACGACGCTCGATTATTAGAATGCGAAAGGGATACATATAGTAACGACCATAAGCATTGATATATAAAAAGTTACTCCACTATCTATTTGTAAAGCGAAATTATAACAACTTTATGATTTTCCCTTTTGAATATACACAGTTTCTTCGCCATATCTTATACTGTGAAGAATATTTAATCCTAGCTTGGCAGCTTCATCGCGTAAGATTTGATGCTCCTCTTCTGTGAAACCTTCTGTGGGAAGAGGTTGTCTCATTACGTCTTTGTCGTTAATAGATTCGCACAATGCACGCGCAGCTTTTCGAAATTCAGAAACTTTTTCCGTCGTTTCGTCCGTTTGAGATCGGAAACTATTTTTCCACAAGCGTTTCTCAATTTTCGAATATTCGATTTGTTTTTTATTTGTCTATAAGAAAAGAAACGTTCAGGAAAAACATTCAGATTGTGTAACTAATAATTTTTTTTTTTAATTATTTTTATACGTTAATTATATTTATCTTTGTAATCATCTCTTTGTAACTTACCAGTTTAATCATTTTTTTTATTGCTTCATTTTCTGGATCTATCTTCAAAGCTTTTTGCAATTCTGTCATTGCTGACTTGTATTCTCCAAGAGTTAACAGAGCTTTTCCAAAACTAAAATACAAAGAAAGAAAAAAAATATACATGTGTGAGTAAAAAAATGTGTGCGCGCACACACACACACATATACATTGGTTTTATTCATACACTTATAAAGTAAATAGCTGAATTGATTAATATCGCATACTTGTAATAAGTTTTGCTAGTTCGCATATCTTCAGGTATTCGTAAGCAAGCTATACAAGCACTACGTGGGATATTTTCTTTGTTGGAACAAATAGCCAGATTAGTACAACTTCTTACAAGTAACTCATGCATTTCTTGTTCCTCAATAGCATCTTTTAACTTTACACTTTCCAAGATATCAATAGCAGATCTGTATCTGCAAAGAAAAAATTATACATATGATTATGTAAATAAATTTCAAAACTATTAAAAATATTTATAACGTAAGAAATGAAAAGTATAAATATTAGATATCAACTATAAAGTATTTAAATATTTGTTGCTTACTCTCGTATTGCTCGTTTTATATTATGCTTAGCTACATAATGTTTGGCAGCTCCGAGCTTTTGTTCTACAATCTTTTTCATGTATATAAACGATTGCTTTTCTTCTTTGCTGAGATTTTCTAATGTATCCGCAGAACCATCATCAAGAAAAGAAAGTAAATGCACAACAAACAAAACCACTGAATTAGGTGGAATGGTTGGTGCACACCCAAGAGCCTTATAAGCTAAATCAGGATGTATTAAAAATGCTGCTATCTCATCTTTTAGCATAGTTTGCAGACCAAGTGCTAAACCAGGTAAGACTTCATTTAGTCGCAGGCATCGTGGCCTTCCAGCAGCATAAGTAGAATCAAAAGGAGTATCTCCGTGTTCATAATATGCAACATAGTGGAAAGTTAGTTGAGGATTATGAGCATTACTAACACTTTCTTCCACACCATTTTTTTTTACATATTTCATGACCTAATAATAAAAGTTTGCTTCTGTTAAAAGTTGCATAATATAGTTTTATTTTAATTGTTTTGAGATTCTTTTCATTCATGTATTTAATATTTCAAATATATGAAAAAAACAAAACAAAATTTTTAAGAAAATAATGGTATTAAAGTAGAACAATTGTTGTCTTGGTTTACTTGACTTGTTCTAAAATTAAGAGTCAATCACATTTGATTGACAAAACAGCTCTGCCGAGTGCAGCCAATTTCTAAGAGAAATAAGTATAAAATCTCACCTTTTGATCTAAGGTTACAGGTGACATTTTTTGTCTCAAGGTTTCAAAATTTAACCCATTGAGAGTTTCACAACCTCCTTCTTCATTCTCTTCGCCATCACCATTATCCATGTTCAACAAGTTTATCATTTCTTGATTAGTGAAATGTACATTTGGGGAATATCCAAATTCATCGTCATCATCAAAATCTTGCCCCTCAACATCAAAAGTAAATCCATTCTCGTTCATCAAGTCGCTACAATAATAAAATTATAAGTAAACAAATAATATACAACCTTAACTTATATTAAAAAATTATTGAGTTTTCTACTCTACCCAATTCTAAATCCAAGAGAAGAGTCTATATATTTTGCCATTTTACTACTTAATGTATGTATTGTGCTGAATGTGTGGTTTAATATTAGATATATTAAACAATTCTTTAAATATTATATTTTTGTTTAAATCCCAATGATTTACCACTCTTTGTACTTTTTAAGTGGTGGTTATGTAGTAATTCTCAATCGGTACTCGCTCGGATCAGCGCGAAATGACTCAAATGGAGAATGGAGTCAGAGCTATCGTGCACAGTAGACCATTGCGCCGTCGTGCTACGCCGTCGCCACCGCCGATTTTGAAATTTTCGCCGAACACCGCCGCCGAAAAAAAGTGTGTTAAGCCTATGTCACACTACGGATTGGGATTGAGATTGGATTGAAACTTGACCAATCAGAAGAAAGAGAATCAATTCTAAGTTTACTGATCTTCGCTCTCTGATTGGCCAAATTGCAATCCAATCCCAATCCTAATCCGCAGTGTGACATAGGCTTTATTGCTTGTATCAGAGAGAAGACTGAGAGCGGCCATCCTAAAAGTCCGTTCTACCTCTCTTTGGTGAAACTGATCAATCACGTTGGCCGATTGGCCGATGATTTGACTCTGCGACCCACCACCTGGGTGCTCTCGGTGCTAACCGGCCAGAGTTTGCAACACTGACGCCAGGCTTATCTATTCTAGACGGAGTTTTACTCACGTATTGAGCAATAGTGTGTAAAATTTGAGTGAAATAGCGTCGAAGAAAAATTAAAATTTGTGAAAATGGGTAAAGGATTCAACAATTATATGTGCAAAAAGTTTTTTCATCCAGCGTCACGAGACAATTTAAAACGAGTATGTATCGCAAAATAGAATATAAAAAATTAATATATTTGCAGTTGGTTTTTTTGTTTTTTTTTTTTTAATAATGTGTACTTTATACTATCAATAATGATACAATTAATATCAACAAATATAGTTGTTACTTAATAAAATTTATAAAACATTTCCAATATATATTCACGATTCCATCGTCGGTAGGGTTATATGATAATCTTTTGCAGTAGCATCTGATATTAATGATTGTGGTGACTGGCAGTTTTTACTGTGTAAATCTTGTTTAAAAATCTTATATAATTATCAAGAAGTATGATTGTTGTTGATAATATATTTTCACAGGTATGGATGGCAGAACAGCAAGCAGACGCTTATAAGAAAAAACAGGAGGAACTACGGGTACAATATGAGAAAGAACAAGATCTTCACAATAATAAGTAAGTTTTCAGAACTCTCTCAATCAACAAGTAGATTTCTGGCATAAAATGATATAAAACTCAATAATCAAATATAAAATTAATATCTAATATAAATTTGTTTTTTTTTTACTCAGGGCATTGCTAAGCAAAGAAAGCAAGGACAAACTCAGTGTAAACTTTATGTACGAACCACCTCCTGGAGCAAAAAAAGAAAGAGAGAAAGAAGATAACGAACCCGAATACAAGTTTGAATGGCAGCGAAAATACAATGCTCCTAGAGAAAGCTATTGCAAAGGAGACAGTGAGATTCGAGATCAACCTTTTGGTATACAAGTTAGGAATGTGCGTTGTATCAAATGTCACAAATGGGGCCATATAAATACAGGTAACTACCGTACACATGCATGTACAACTCTTTTGTAGATTCAATTGAATTATATACAAAACTTTTCCTAAATTTTAAATTGATATTGAATTTTGTTTAATTTGAAAATAAAATTTGTTTTCAGATAAAGAATGTCCACTGTACAGTCAAGCAATGAGTGTGGTAATGGCTAGCAACAATAATAACAATACGCAAGCATCTTCTGCCCCAGATGCCATGACGCTTGTACAACAAATGCGGGAGGACGGTTTGGCTCTGAAAAAGTAAGTTTATCACATGTAACTTATATATATACATGTATGAATAAATTAATTAAAAATCTATTTTCTTGTGGTCACAGATCTGCCTTAGACGCGCAACAGCATTTACGCGTCACAGAACACGACCATCTCATGGTCTCTGAAGATGAGGAACAATCGGAAATGCAGTTTATAAAATCGTTAACAAAAAAGGAAAAGAAAAAACTACTATTGTAAGTTCAAGTTTGTACTATAACATGATATTGTATCTTGTTTGCTGGTAAAAAATATTTAGAAATTGAATATTTATTATGTATCTCAAACATTAAACAAAGAAAATCTTATTTCTTTGTATAATTGATAAAAATGCTTATGGTTTCCAGAAAATTACAACTGCTTGAAAGAAAAGTCCGCAAGAAAGAAAAAAGAAAATTAAAAAAAAAGAAAATGAGAAGTAAGAAGAGATCCAGCAGTGTTACCAGCAGCAAGAGTAGTAGTAATAGCAGCAGTAGCAGCAGCAGCAGCAGCAGTAGCGACAGTAGCAGCAGCAGCAGCAACAGTGATTCAGAAGATTCCTATTCAAAGAACAGAAGGAAACAAAAAAAGTTAAACTCAAAGGAACAACGTGCGCACAAGATTCACAAGCAAAAACAAAGTAATAGCGCGCAGAAGTACAGACACAAGGAAACAGAATTCAAACAAGATTGGCATGATAAAGGCAAACATCATCATGATAGAAAAAGAAAATTGAAAGATCAAGATCATGGAGAGGAGGACAGAAATAACTCGCATAGGAAAGGAAAGAGAAAGCACGCACATTATTAGTAATTATTTCGACGATGTTTATAACTATAATATTGTATTGTTTATGAAATTACTAATAATAATAATAATAATAATAAACACTTTCTCTTTTTATCATTGGTATATCTTAATGCATTCTTTTAACTTAAATTTAATATTGCGATTTGAAGACATAATACGCCGCAGATTTTATATATATATAGATAGATAAATATATATAATTATGTAATATACATATATGTATATATGAACATTATGAACACATTAATAGATTTAATTATTAATTGTTTTATCAATGCGTATAAGTGAAATATTTCTAATAATTACTCGAAATACGAACATTCACTATATATATATGTTTTATTTTAACATGCACCTTATATAATTTGTTTTTACAAATCAATGAAACGCGGTAATATATTGATACTCTTATAAATTCTGTGCAACCGTTGTTTTTCCTCGCAGAAAATGATAGAATACGTTGTGTAACGAATGAATTATTCAGCCGGATTTTTTGTATTTTGTATAAGGCGCGTATATTTTTTTTTTTATTACTTAAATAAGTCCTTAGTATATAAATTTCTCTCACTCTATTTTCTCTTTGTTTTTTTTTTTTTTTTTTTTTTTTTTTTCTATTTGTTTTTGTGTAACATAATTAGCTAGTAACAATCCATTCTTGCATTATACATTATTTTATGTATATTAACGTATGACTGTTATTATTATACATAATGTAGTAGCCACAGAATGGCTTTGAACACTTGGGCACTTTGAAATTTGCGTGTGATCGTTTCTTACAAATGTGGATTTGTATTTTCAAAAAACTGTACGATAACGATTCTATTAACTTTAGAAAGTTAAATTGGATTGGACAGCTATATGTACAATTACTTCATTAAGTTCAATTACATTTTAGCAACAAGATTCGACGTATATAGATAAAAAGAGAATACACTCCATGTATGTACAGGATGTCTAAAAAACTTTTTTAGAAAGTGTGCAGATAGATGGAGTCAATCTGAACAAAAAATGAGCGCGCAAGAAACGATTTAAAAAATTCTGACACTCTATATATATATTGCAACCAAAACACATTTTCTGTAAATACCGTTAAAAATGAGCATATAGCAACGAGTACTTCCAGTAAACAGAAAACAATTTTGAAATGTACAAAAACATTGTGTTTTGTCGATTTAAATTAACAAACATCGTTATTTTTTTTTTATAAACTCTTAAATAAATATAAACTATATAAAATCGAAAAAAAACCTTTATCCTACATACATAGTTTTCTATAATCTGATTCTTTTTATTGGTTTTATATATATATATATATATATATTTCTTTAATATATATATATATATATATAAATTTTCAATAAAATCACATAAATAATAACAAAATGCGAGACAATTTTGCTCTAATGTATGTGCTTCTTTGATGCGCAAAGATTTTGTCATCTCATTTACGCGCAAGCATGATGGTTCATCAAAACATCCAGGACACGAAATCATACTGTAATGTGTTTTCTCTTCTACCAGAATCTCTACCGTACGTAGAGAGCGTATCTCTTATATACATATATACTTCGACACTTATTGCGTAAAGAAACGAGAGTATTGTTTGAAGAAACGTTCGAAAAGTACTAAGTAATCGTCTGTGAAGTAGCACATTTTACTTCATAAAGAAAGAAAATCATAGAATTTTTAAAGCATTTAAAAGAAGTTGTTACAGGACAAATTGTCTCATGTGTGCGATCCTTTAAAAACTATTTTAAATGCTATTACATTGTAAATGTGTGTTTTAAAAATGACAAAAAAACAAAAAGTCTTTGTAACTTTTCTTCTCTCTCTCTCTCTCACTCTCTCTCTCTTTCTCTAATACTTTTTGAAAGCATGCGTCACTTCGTATCAATTTGTGTGAACTGTTGAGAAAGGAAGTCTAGAATTAAACTACAATCAGCGATATAAGTGTGTGTATGTGTATGTGACAATTGTATTGCTATTATGTGTGATATAGGATCTCCAGATTTTCAACTGTATATATTTCGCAAGTATATATACTTTAAACGTTAATGCCACAGATTTTTGCTAGATTTATATATACTTGCTCTCAAATCATTCACACACACATATTTACATAGCGAGAAAAAACATACTCTATTTTATGCTGTTTACATTTTGTGTAAACAAACTTGTAACCGTTCTGAAATTGTCAGAAGCTTATAAATAAGGTCGCATAACGCGAACGATCGCGAGGAGATCGTTTGCCCTCTCTCTCTCTCTCCTCCCTATCTCTCTGCGTTTACTTTTTACTTTTTTATGCAATATATATATTGAATTTGCTAAAGGTAACTTTGTTCGCGCGTTGCGTCGTCGTTAACATGTAAACAACAAACGCAATTCGGCGAACAAACAGGTTTACGAGCTATTATTTTCCGTCGTTTCTCCTAAATTTTTTTTTTCCATAAGAAAGCTAATAGTTTGTGCGCAACGTGCCTGAGCACTATAAACGATTTGGTAGTTGTCCAAGATCTACCATTTCGGCATCTTCTATACTGTTTGACGCCGCTGTATGTTGTCTGTGTTGCTGTTGGAAGTCTACCGACGGGCGCAGATGAGCGTCCATCGATCTGGGCGAAAAGCTATGCATGCCCGTCGCCGCGCCAAAACCTGTATTGTTCAGCAGTCCTCTACGCGGGCTTCTGGCGTTCACAACTTTAGGCTGCGCGTACATCTCTTCCAGAACACTCGGCGCTACGTACGTAAAGCCCTGAAATATCATGTTCGCCGATTCGCTGAGAGTGCTCTCAACTGGGGAATCGACCGGCACGGTGGCCGTGAACTGTTCGTCAAACTGCGACGTATCGTCAGCGCTCTTCAGAGACGGCTTGAACGGGGGATCCAACTTGCGTGCAATTACATCCTGCCAATTAATATGTTTGAAGAAGTTGTGATTCTTGATTTGCTCGGCATCTTCCGGACCTGATCCCAATCTCTGAACAACTTGTCTCTTCAAGAGCTTTCGTATGAGATCGCGAGCATCCGGGGTCAGATATTGCGGAAGACTCAATTTTCCCCGCAATATCTTTTCGATGGTTTTTCGTCTGTCGTCGCCGGTAAACGGCGGCATACCTGTAAGCATATCAAACATCAGAGCGCCCAAACTCCACCAATCCACAGCTTTTCCATGACCGCTCCTGGTGAGTATTTCCGGCGCCATGTACTCTATTGTTCCACAGAATGTGTGCGTCACCGTGCCTTCCTGTATATGCTCTTTGCAAAGACCAAAGTCCGTCAATTTAACATGACCTTCAGCGTCCAGAAGAATATTCTCCGGTTTCAAATCTCTGTATATAATTCCTTGATTGTGCAAATGTTGCAACGCCAATATGATCTCGGACAGATAAAAACAAGCCATGTCCTCCAAGAAGATGCCTTCTCTGTCCAGATATGTGAAAAGTTCTCCGCCGCACAGATACTCCAATATCAGATACAATTTGCCACCGGTTTGAAAAGCATACATTAGGTTCACGATAAACGGATGTTTGACAGCTTCCAGAATATTTCTCTCAGCTTTTGTGTGTGCGGTATCTTTCTGATTTCGTATGATAGACGCTTTGCGCAATACTTTCATGGCGAATATATTGCCCTTGTCCTTTCCGGTAACCTTTCTCACTTGGAAAACCTTCCCGTAGCCACCTTCTCCCAAAATTTTGCACAATTCGAAATCTTGCGGACCAGCCTTTTCCTGACCAGGATTAACATTTTGCTCCGACAATTGAACTCTTTCCAGATTATCGGACCTAAAGAAGGTTTAAAACATTTGTTTTTTTTTTTTGTTACAATCAACAGAGCGCGTAAATTATTCTAAAAAAATTAAAACCAAACAAAAACCAAAATTACTCACTCCAGTATAGCACTCACTGTTGCCGCGTGATTATATTCCTCCTATAAAAAAAAAAAAAATAATTCAAAATTAGATATTGCTGTTGAAAAAAAAAACAAAAAAAAAACAAAAAAAAACATAACTCAAAACTAATCAGATGGATACATTCTACCTCTCTACTCTCTATCACATCGTCGTCCGATTCGTCCTGAGTTGTGGCATCCCCGTCGTGCAGCTCGATGTCAAATACTCCTGCCATCCTGGATGTGTCAAACTCACATTCAAAACTTTCCAAACAGGCTGTAAAAAAACACACACACACACACGATAAAATTACAGCGGTTTGCTGATAACTGATGCAAAAAAAGAAATTTATAACAAATAAATAAAATAAAAGAAAAATTCCGAATGAGACGTATGTGAAAAGTTTAACGTGTGTGCAACGTGAGCGTAAAATTTGTCGAGTATTTCTTTTCGAAAGAATTCTCACCTTGAACTTTTATAATCTGACGTGCGATCTAACGTGCAAAATCTTTCTCGCGCTCATCGAAATCTTCGAAAAACCAATCGGAAAAAAAAGCCGCGGGCATCCACACACACGTCAAAACTTTGGACAAGGTGCGCGCAAAATTTACTTGTACACTCGCAAATGTATATATTCATAAGAACCCACGAAATTAACCTACATACGGAACATATGAAATTGACGGTCAATGGTGTGGAATTGGCGAAATGGGCGTCAGTATCGCCCATAGACATTAAAATATATAGACCGTGCCTAGGGGCGCGCGGGACTCAAACCGCAACACACATCGGAGAGAGGGAACGCGACCGGAGAGAGATATCACGGAGGATCAATTCTCGATTTTTAATATCGGACAAATCAATCGAAATTCGGGACCGATCGGTTCCGCGAAAAATCAAATAGAATCGCGATCTCTCGCTGTCTATCTATCTAGTGACTTGAGTTAATTCACACGCGTGAGTTAAACCGCGTGATTAAGTTAAAATTCGGTCAATCGATCAATGCGATTGTGTGGTCAATCCTAAAAAAACAAACAATCGGTTGATGAAAAATCACGTAATCGGAGACGGATGTCAAACTGGATCTCGCGAAAAAAAACCCAAAAAAAAACTAATATTACACCACCATAAATTTTTTTGTACGTATAACAAAGAAAATTTTGAATTAATTGACAATTGAGTTGAACATTTTATTGAATACGAAGAAAAAAACGCAGCAATAATATTGGTCTTAACGTCGAAAATTTCTTACTGAGATAATTTGTTTGTTAAAATCATATTTTGACAGCAAATACAAATACAAAAATCTGCTGTTCGCACGTAGATTTATATTGTCGTGTAAGCGATGCACGTAAAAATGTTACAACAAATGTGTCGTTGATAAAAAAAAAACAAACAAATGTTTCGTTGCGACATATTTTGTAATTTATAAACGTGTGACGTTTCGGGTGTAAAAATTTTCTTTCGAACAAAACAAAAACGTTATTAACACAGTGTTAAAAAAGCAGAATTGAACGATTCTAAAATTACTAGATCGCGCGGTGTGTGATGTATTCATTTCATTTATCTTCGTTTTTACTTCGTGTGTGCGCATCTTAAATAACATTGAGTTAAAAATGATTCCCCCCCCCCCCCCCCCGAATGTTTTATCTAAACGTAACTGGAACGTGACTGCGAGGAGCAAACAACAGAAATTTATCTCGGTATGACGCGTGTTGTTTGCCAATATTTTTTTAACGTTGTATTTCCCGCGTTTCGCGATTTTCGCGAACTCTCCCGGCCATCTTTGCACGCCAGTCGTCTCTCGCGCGCGCTGGCTGGCGTGCGCTCCTTGTGTCCTTAGTCAGAATCGGCGAGTGTGCCGTCCAGCTGTCGCGGAGAGTGTAAATTCAGGTATTGCGTAAGCCCCGCGGCCCCGTCCACAAACTGGTCCAAGCCTACAGAAAGAGAGAGAGAGAATTTATCTTCGTCTCGTGTGTCGAAATGGAGAGTGGGAGAGATAACGTCGAAGTGAAGGGCGCCGTTAAAGAAACGGTAGCCGCGGCGGTCAGTGCCACGTTGAAAGTTGAAGGAAACTCGACGAACGTCGTTGTTGGCGGTAACGACAAACAACAGCTGGACGAAGAGGAGGACGATATGGGCAAGCAAAACGGCGAGGAACTTGACGAGGGTGCTCAGGAACGAATGCTCAGCAACGAGAGCGCCGCGAAGATCACGTCGAATGAGAAAACTGCCACCGAGGTGAGACAATTTTTTCGTCGTTTTTATTTTTTGGTTGCCAAAAAATTATCTCGCCATTGTCGAGAGACGTCTCAAAGCTCTCAACCCTCCGTTGAGCCGTTAAACACGCGATACCGTTAAGACCTACTTCGAATTGAAGCTCGCGACAAGAGAGAGATTGCATTGTTTACTCCAAGTAATACCTCGTAATATATCACGCCGGTATAAGGTATATGATCTTGACTGTCTTATGTGGTATCTTTTGCGTGTGGTTGAATTAATAAAAATAAATTTTTTTTTAGAGTTCACTGCCTGTAGTTTACATCGTACATCTCTTTGGTGCGCGAATCAAAATTTTTTTTCAATGTATATAACGTTGGTAAAATGTTGGTGGAAATAATATTGTCTGTTTGTTTTTGTTTGGAAAAACAATTCAAAGAATCGACAACAGCATGTTGCTGTTTCGTACAAATAATTTATAATTTCAGATACGCGCAATTATAATTACAAAGGTAGCACCGAGTTAATTAACATGTTCTTTTTTTATAATCTGATATAATATTCAGTGTTTACTTGGTTTTTCTAATTAACTGTTTGTACATTGTTAAAAGCGCGAAGAACATTGTGCTCATCTTTGTTGCCACCCAACAAATCACGTAACGACCCAGATTTAATAAATATTAATTACAATAAATATTCATTCGTTTTGTAGCACATTCATAAATTGACTTTGTAGTAAATATAAATGACAGTCTCAATTATTTATTTATTGTACAAAAAAGTATTTTCGTGCAATATAAGTACAATCCTTTAACGGACACGCCTATGTTGCCGTCGTTCAAACGATCAATTTCTTTCGCCGGACGTCGCTGTGTGTGTGTGTGTGTGTGTGTGTGTGTGAATGGCGTGAGAAACATTTTTGACTTCCCGGGGTCTTGCAAATGTTTTTAGCGCCAGTTTTATTGTAATGTTGAAATATTTGCATTTTTTTAAAAATATTTTTATGAAAACACGAAGAAACATAGTCTATATATTTTATGGCAATACAAGAAGTACATAAATACAAATTACACAATTTAACTCAGACACTTAATGGAAGACAATGCAATCTTTCGCAAAAATTGCATCATACTGAATAGAAAGACTTCAATTTCTCTAAACTCTTGTTCTTTTGTTGTAAAAACACATGCGCATGTGTAATTTTGCATGTCAATCTTTGTTTGACAATTTGAGTCGCAATTTTATTTAATTAAATATTAAAAATTGCTGAAAAAATAATTATACGTGTAAATCCACATGAAAAAAACAAATAAGTACTAGGTACTTCAATAACTAGTAGGCATATATCACACTTATAACAAAGATAAAGTCAAATTAATTTATCACTTATAAAATTAATAATTTTACAAGCATTTTGAGAACTTATCTTTATAAAATAATAGTTTGTTAATATTGAAACTTTCTAAGTATCTAAATATCTAATTTATTATTTGATACTCGATATACAAAATTTATAATATTTTGTCTATGTAAAAAGCTTTTTTGACTGCTCTCTCTCTAATACCTATATGTATTATTAATTAATAGGTGAAATTTATCTCCGAAAATGGTGACGCCAAGATTGATATTGAAACAATAAAAGAGGCAATTTCCGGAATGAGCAAAGAAGAATTGATGAAGTTCGCAAACGATCCATTTTGGATAAAAATGAGATGGGCTTTGTTCATCTTGTTTTGGCTGCTGTGGGCAGCCATGTTGGCAGGTGCTGTGGCTATAATTGTAATGGCGCCAAAATGTTCAGCACCCGAACCAAAAAAAATATGGGAAGAAAGTGCCATTGTTCAGTTGGATCCCTCAGATTCTCCTAATAACAATTTAGAAGGTTTGGAATCCATATTGTATGACTTGAAAGGTCAACATATAAAAGCGATATCTCTTTCATCATTGATGAAGGAAGATGCAAATGGTAAGTCCAAATATATATCTATATTATGTATCTTACAAGGGACTCGAACCAAAATCAAATTTCGGTCCAGTTACCGTTCACGGTCCGATGCTGTACCTAAGTTTTGGTTCCGATCATTGATCACGGTTCCGTTTATTGATAACGGTGACCGTAACCACTTGGATTTCGGTTTTTTTTCCGGTTACAGTTAAAAGTGTTTAAGTTTCTATTGCAAAATTTATAATAAAAAAGATAATTCAATAAGTATATAAGTTATTGTTATATAAGTTGCATATTATAAAAAATGCACGTTAAACAAAACAAATTAATTTAAGGCCTGTATAGTTTAAAACTAATCGAGAAATTTAACAGGTGATACGAGCCAATGCGCTAGATGTTGTGCGAAATAAATTTATATATGAATATATATTTATATTTTTTTTAAGAGTGTAAATTTTGTATGTGTGTGTGTGTGATTGTTTGAATTGAAATTTCAATTCGTAAATTTTATATAAAATGCCAAACTTGCATCACCTTCTGAAAATACCCATTTTTTAATTTACACTTCTAAAAAAATATAAATATATATTCATATATATATTTTTAAACTATATGGGCCTTAACTCTTTAGTTAATTTGTTTCACGCCGGAAGATAGCGTTATTCACAAAGCATTATATTCGAATATTGCGAGAGAAACATCAAGTGCGCGCCACCAACCGAAACTCGGATTAAAAAATCGAAACAAATATCGGAAAAAGTTTTCAAGTCCGGTTACGATTCCGGTCCATAAGTCTACGCAATATTTCGGGCCGGTTTTTTGTTTCGTTTTGATAAAAATAACGGTTACGGTCCGGTTATCGGTTTCGGTTTCAGTCCGGTCCGAATCCTTGATTTTTTCTTTTAAATATATCAAGTATACAAAATAAATATTAAAAAATATATAGATATATAATATATGATATATATATATATATATGTTTTATTCTATTTTATATACATATTAAATAGAAGTATTAATAAAAAGAACTCTTATTTCGACAGGAGTTGTAGATTTTAAAGTTGTCAAACCAGAAATAGGAGGCATTGTTGCTTTGGAGAATCTCATTAAAAAGGCAAAGGATAATGATCAACAAATCTTTCTGGAACTGGACCCGAATCATTCTTCTACAGAGCATCCCTGGTTTAAACAATCTGTAGAGAGACAAGACCCATTTACGGACTATTACGTTTGGGCTGATGGAACAACTAGTACCGATAGCGGAAAAGAAAGACGAAATCCTCCAAATAATTGGGTGAGTCATCGTGCTCATTCTCAAGTTTATGACGTTGAGAATAGAATATTTTAAAGACGCACGTAAATATATAACACAATACAGTTTTTACACAAAATACACATTTTTGCAGTTAAGTATATATAGCGAGTCCGCATGGGAGTGGAATGAACAGAGAGGCCAATACTATCTCCATCAATTCAACAAGTCGCAGCCTGATTTGAACTACAACAATCCTGCGGTGGTGAAGGAATTTGGAGTTAGTTTGTTACGCTTTATTATAATTTAATTTTTTTTATCTTTAATATAGACTCTCGCTTTAATGGTTTATATATCTCATTGTGTCAAGGATATCTTAACCCACTGGCTAAAATTAGGGATCAGTGGTTTTCGCTTAGCGAATACGCAATATTTAAAAGAAGATCCGCAACTTCACGACGAGGCTAGAAGCATACTTCCCGTGGAATCCGGTAATTATCTATCGTTGACGCACATTTACACCCGCGATCGTCCGGAGAACATCGAAGTGTTAACTCAATGGCAAGAAATTGTTCATAACAAAACTGACGGCAAAGGGTACGCTCGCTTTTCCGTACTTTAATTTATTGCGATTACACGAATGAATATTTTCGGCTGATGTGTCGTTTATAATCGCAGATTATTCTCGCTGCAAGATGACATCGGTGCGGATATTTTACAAGTTTACAACGAGAAGAAGACGGTTATTGATCTCCCACAGAGCTCGCATTTCCTCACCACTGCTAATGCGAGCATAAATGCCACGGTGCTGCGTAAAGGTATCACGCAATGGCTTCCAATCGCGCCGTGGCCCGCGTGGAATGTGAGTACATTTAAATTTATGAATGCGAGTGTCCGAACGTACCAATTTATATATGGATTATTAATTGCAGCTCAACGGTAAACAACACGCTCTGAGACAACGTATGCCGGCCGAGATTGCCAGCAGCGTAACATTAATGACCATGCTCCTGCCCGGCACCCCGATTCTTCGATTAAACGACACTATGTCGGCGAAAGACGCGTTTGCAACTTTGTCGAGCGCGCGTAGCAGTTTAACATTCCTTTACGGAGAAACGACAACCAGAATAGTGAACGGAACGGTTTTTGTATATGCCAGGTAAGTTCTTGAACTAAATTTATTTGAACATTGAACATGATAAAAATGCCGACAGTAGGAACTTACAATCTTCGTACGTGTAAAATACACAAAGGTTTAAAAAAACGTTAAGTTATTTAACATAATAACTATGTCTTTGCTACTGAATATAACTATATGACTCGCTAAGTAAGACTAAAAACTGAGTATTTCAACATAGAGTTGATGCTTTTTCTTTGTCTATCTGATTTTTGCAAAACAAGACTAACGGTGATTTATATATTTATCAAACATACATGATTTGAATAATTAACTTCACACACGTACACACACGTGTAATAAAATAACCAAAGATTGTCTTTTTTTTCACGTTTTCTTGTACACGAAACAGGAGTTGGTAAGTCCACATGTTACTTAAACATACTTTACTATCGTGCTTTATCGCAGAAATTTAACTGCATACAAAGAAAATAATATTTGTTCAAACTGGCATCTAAGAACTTCCTTCCTTGTGTTATTTTTGAATGTAAATTTTGCAATGGTGTGTAGGTATGTGCTTAAACAAAAGTACGCAAACGATATACAAGAATAATTTTTTTTAGGTTAAAAAGCGGGAATCCTGGATATTTGGTAGCGTATCAGACGGGAGATGATCAAGCCGTTATAGATCTTTCCACAATTCAGCGAGTATCGGAAGAAGTCAGCATATTTGCGCATAGTCCTAATTATCTCGGACAATCAGAAATATCGAAGTAAGAATTCTTCTATTTAAAAAAAAACTTTTTTTTATATATATGTATATAACACTTTATAACAATGTCAAAATTCATTTGCAGAACAAAATGGCCTTCAAACGCGGTGCCCATATCGCCAAAAAGCACTGTGGTGTTGACATTTGTGCCAAAAGAGTAATAAAAAACATATATATATAAAACAAAATACATATGGAATGCGCGCGCAAAAAAACGGTTAACCGTATATACAATATTTTTTGTGTTTCAAGTATAAAATTGCAAGTAGGCTTACTAACCTACTTGCCTGGTAGGTCGCGTGCAATCGCAAAAAAGTAACTAATCTGAAATTTGAAAATTAAATCAATCGTATTGTCAAATCGTGATTCGAATGCGATCTAGTACAAAAAAAATAAAAAGCATCGCTGTAGACTTGATTTAACTGTCGCGTAAAATTTATTTGTGACTGCCTCGCGTTTGGCATCTTGTTATTTTTTTTTTCTTGTCTCTCAAACCATGATTTATCGTTGTTGTCTGATAAATTTACAGTGATGAATGTATATTGTGAATGAACATGTGTAAAACAAATATTTCTATGCCGTTTCGCATATCCAATGTGACAGCTATTGCATTTAGAGCATAGAGGCTTATCTATGTGGTAAAAGCTGAATTAATTGTCTATATATACTCATCTCATAAATAATCTGTTTATATATATATATATACATATGTGTGCCGTTATAATACAAGGTAGCATTTGATGTATTCAACGTGATGAAATATATCTTCAGCAAGCAATGAATAATTTTCTTTTTTTTTTTTTTTTTTTAATTCTTAGTTGTGTGTGTACGCACTATTTTCCCCAAGCAACGAGTGAGCACTTGTTCGAAACCCCTTTGACGAAGATTAATATCGAATCATCAACTAATAATAATGTACTACTGATAAAATTAATAATTTAATCAATATTGAATTAGCAACGGAAAATCTTTATTATAAAATTTCAACAACAATACGTAATCTTATACTTACAATACAATAAAACATATCACATTTTGAATATTTTCAGTCCAAGTAGTTGAAAAGTTTCACAGAGATTTTTATTCAATATGAACTTTGTGTGGATCAGTAAATCTCGCTGTTAGGATGTAAAACACAGCAGGTAGCGGAACTAAAATCAACATCCATGGATGAATGTCAATTTCGCGAAGAGTTGCTATTGCCACTATGCCATATCCATGTAATATCCAATGGCCTAAGATAACTATTATGTTCTTTCTGTCCAAAATTGAACTCAGCAGCAACGACTTGATCGTCTGGTTCAATTTAAATGCGAAATGCGCTGCGCTTGAAATAACTGATAAAATAATAGTGATGAAAGGAAAAGCGTAATCTGTAAGATACAAAATTAGATATCAAAAACTTAACGCACAAAGTTTGCACAAGATACATGATATTCTATATGTACATACATATTAGACCTCCGCCAACAGCATGAAGCAACGCAAGAATTGGATAAAAATACAATGCACCATAAATGGAAAACTTGCCGCGTCTTGGTAGACATTTGCTTGCTATTATTGGCCTTATTAGTAACATAAGGACTATCCCTAAGACGTAGAAGAGAAAAACCATGGTATACCTGAAATTTTTTAAACATGAGTTTTTAACATATGACAAGAATAATTTTTATAAAAACTTTGTCAATAGTGATTTTTTTTTTTAAGTATAAAAGAGAATATATGTGTAACCGCTAACACAATTGTGTGTGATTTCCAAAGATATATTGTAGGTTTAATAAAATTTATCAATTTTTAAGCATTGAAGAGTGTGAAAAAATGGTAAACTAACAAAGGATAAACTGCCTCTTGTGTACAGTGTAAAGTTGCTTCATAATTGGGACTTGGATTGTGCAACAGAGTATACCAATCCGACAATTTTTTTGTTCTGCACGACTTTATGTTGAACGTTCCGATGGGTTCTGTCAGCTGCAGCACTATGATGCACGCCAGTATGACCTCAAGTAATGCGGACAAGTGCACAGCAATCACTTCCTTGGGTATACCCCGGCGAAAAGCGACCAAGTCAATGAAAAACCAGTGCAATACCAGAACCAACAAAGCCATAAACCCGAGATAGAGCCAATCGTAGAGCGTCGGTGTGTCTTCGCAAGGCACGCACGCTGACGAAGCATTTGCTCGATAACCGCGCATACAAGCGCCACAGTCACTCCAGTTTCCATCTGACAACAATTCTCTGCCACAATAGAGTCCAGGACATCGTATTAAAGTGTTCATGATGTCGCTGTTGTTATTTTTTTAAGATACAAGGTTTGAATAAGAAACGTTTTATTACAGAATACGTGAACAATCAAAGTCAAGTCCAGAATTTTATATGTAAACTACATGACAATTGATAAATTTCTTCTTCGCATTTTGTTTTTTAGAAACTTTTACAACGATGATACAGATTTACCAGTACAACCATTCTGACGGCCACTGTGAACGCCACCGACACACTATAGATTTGTTTTATTTCCCTACACCGGCTGCATTAATTCACAGTTCTATCTTCTTCCTTCTGATAAAAAAAAAAAAGATTGACTGTGAACTAACGCAGAAAAATAAAACAAATCTTATATACGTCAGTACTCGTTCTTATAAAGAATTGAATACGCAGCTTTGACTATGTACGGATTGCCAGTAGCTAAATTTCAGACGTGTCGCGAAACTGCAAAGCAAACGTAAGCTCCCTAGTCAGTGATTTTCCGCAGGAGCGGAGAGGCTCCTGTGAAAATGACGTCAATGATGAAATCAGCGCGAAATTACCGGTTTCGTGCGTTTTATTGCGTAGTTAGTTGTTTGCTGTTGATTTATGCTGAGTTTGATTTTTTCCTTGATCGAAAACATAAGGGACAATAAAGAATAAATAATATAAAAAAACACGGCAACTTTCGACCAGTTGTTTGAATTTCCCGGCATTTACCGACTAGGGAGCCTCGATAAATCGCACTTCGATATCTCGGCGACACCGGGGGTGCGTTCCAAAATCCTACCTTGGTTACTAAAATGCTATATTTCGCGTCACGTGTACTATAGTTTTTGGTAACCAAAGTAGGATTTTGGAACATACCCCGGGCAGCAAAGTGTCACGTGACTCAAATTTTCTAGGACTGCTTCCGCTAGGTATATTTGCTGCTCTTATCTAACCCTCACTCGATGTCATTGTTTGCTTTCGAACAAAAAGCAGCAGAACCGGGAAAATTTTATTGTTGATGACTTATGCAATAATTAAATAATTCCATCAACAACAAAAAATAGCATCGAATAAGGGTTAGATAAGAGCAGCAAATATATCTAGCGGAAGCGGTCCTAGAAAATTTGAGTCACGTGACGTTTTGCTGCCGGACAGCGTGCTGCTGTATGAAAAGGTACCTTAAGATCAAATTCACAATGATCACAAATTAAAAATCGCCCTTAAGCCCGTAACAAACTACAAATTATACCGCATTCAATTTGAGAAGAGAATTTTACCGCGCATAGAAAAAGAAAAGCGAGCGAAAGTAGGGATATCTTTGCGTGGGATTGGCGGGACACTTTCTGACAGCCAATGGCTGTGAAGCAGGAAGACTTTCTTGTCCTAGGAGAGACGCGCAAAACGGACGAGTTTTTCTTTAATTCGGTTTTCTCTTCTCAAATTGAACGCGGTATAAATTTATTACGCACTGTGTACATAAATTTACATGTGGCACAATGTGGCTGAATGTATATTAATTATTAGCCACAATGTAAATTCATTAATTTACGGTATCAAAATAATATATATTTCAATAAAAACTCATTAAAAATTATAGTACAAATTTTTCAACTTCAAAATACTTCTCACTTTTATCATGCACTTTCGCACGTGCTCTTTATTACCGTGAAACTTGTTTATTAAATTATTGACGAGAAAATGTAAAAAGTTTACATGTGTGTGTTTTTTTTTTTTTTTCAAAACTTTGAAAACAATTAAAAGGAAGTCGCAATTTAAAATAAAAAAATTGCGACCGATTTGTAACACAACGCGCAACCGCGCTGCGCGACCGACGTCGTTCGCGCGCCATCTGTTTCGTTCGTAAGTTCCCGGCGACAATCGGTTATCTCCGGCCGAAGATTGCCGAGCGCACATTACTATTTTCAGGCACACAAGGTACCTCTTGACGGATTTTCAATAAAGTGAAAAGGGCGGCGGTGCGCGCGTGATACATCAGAGACTTTTTTTTCGAGATCGGCAGTTCTAATTTCTGACGGTTCGGGAGTAGGTTAACCGCTTTGGTGGGCGAACGAAAATTCTCAGGGTGGTGGGCGCGCGCGCGAGAGAGAGAAACACACGAGAGGAGAGTAAAAAAAGAGTCCACGGACGAGGCGGACGAGAGAGAGCTAGCGAAGCACGCGCAGCCAACAGCGGCACCAGCACAGCACCACCACCACCACCGCACCGCCACCGTCACCGCACCGCAAGAGAGACAAGAGCTACGACGAGATGTCGGGCTACATCTCGACGGTTCTCGACGCCTGACGGTCGTTCGCCGTCAATCCGCCGAAAAATGAAACAAGTCCTTAAATCGGAGCGAGCAGCTGATGGCGGCCAAGCGCTGTGCTACAAGCTGCTCCTAAGGTGCACGTTCACCTAATCGTCGCATCGGCAGAGCAAGATCCGTGCGGATTCGCGTTGGAAGTGGTGGCGGCGCGTTCAGCGGCTGCCGCGCGTTAAAAGAACCGCAACGGAGCAGCGACAGCTCTCGGTCCGTGTTCTTCTTCGGCTACGCTTTTTTTCGTGTAGGTATTATAATAAAAAGAGAGCCGCGACGTACGCGGTCTCTCTCTCCCGTGGTGGTGTAACGTGTGCGTCGTGTGCGTGTGCGTAAGCGCGCGCGCGCGCGCGTGTGTGTGTGTGTGTCGCGCGTGCGGCCACATTACTCGCAGCCATACTTTACTACACGGACGTGCGCTAACCAGGCTATATACGCGTGAGTTGGTCTATTTCGTAACGGTGCTTCTCTCCTTCTCTCTTCGCTCTTTCTCTCTTAAACCTCTCCTCTCCTCTCTCGACTCGCCGACTCGGCTCGGCGCGCGCGACGGCGGCTCATTGCGTGCGTGCGTGCGTGCGTGCGGTGCGTGCGTGCGTGCGTGCGCGACACGCAACTATCCGACGACGTCTCGCACCAACGTTCGAGAAACGGCGAGAGGAAAAACTTTTACCGACCAAACTATAGCAGCAGCAGCGGTAACCCGGCGCGCCGCTGTTGTCGCCGATCGAAATTCCACCCTACGTCGTCGTCTACGTCTACGTCGTCTACGTCGTCGTCGTACGTTTCGTAGCGAAAGCTGTGTGTGCCGAGGGTAAGAGAAGAGCCGCCGGGGGACGAGACCGACGACCGGCTCTTATATATTGCGGTGTGTCGTCCGGCGTTTTTGTATCGTTTTTGCGTATCGTATCAACGACGCCTAATATAATTTTTGTGTGTAAAAATCTTTCGCCGCGTCGCGTCGCAGAAAACATCTGTAGCGCGTAGTGAAAGAAAGAAAGAAAGAAAAAAAAAAGGACGTACGGACGTACGGGACGCACGTCGGCCAGCAGTACACGAGAGCGTGCGTGTATGTGTGACAACGCCTAGTTGTGTCTGGAGATCCCCATCGCGCCCCTTTCTTCCGGAGAAGTATATTGGGCCAGCGGAGGAGACGCGACGAGAGCCCAACCGAGAATCCTCCTCTCGAGGGGCGTCCGCTTACGTACGAGCGAAATTCGACGATCTCCGATCTCGAGCGAATTTGTTTGAAAAAAATTTCGCTCGAAACAAGAAAGAAAGAGAGAGAGAGAGAGAGAGAGAAAAAAAAGAGGATTCTCCGCGCCACGCCGTGACCGTGGAGTTTGTCAGTGTCTCATAACGCACACCGTGGCCTCGTGTGTGCTATGCTCCTTGAACACAGCCTCGCGGTGTAACAACACTCACCTCCTCATCATCATCCTCCCCCGCCTTCTTCTTGCGCTTCTTCTTCGGGGAAACGCGAGAACGGTAAGTGTGTAAACGGTAAAATCGGTGGCGGAAGAAAGAGAAGAAGAAGAAGAAGAAAAAAAAAGAGACGACCGACCGGTACACACAAACCGCATCTCATCCGCGTGTATATCGTGTAAAGGTACTTGAGTGTGTGTGTGTAGGTCGTTCTTCTGTATCTCTCGTCGTTTCGTCGCGCGAGTAAAAAGAAGTGCAAAGTGTAAAAATTCAGTTTTGTGAGAGAGAGAGAGAGAGAGAATTTTTCATCTTCCGCCTCTGTGCGCACGAGAAGGAATGCAACCACCGCTTCGAAGTGATCTTCGTCTCTAGTGGCGAAAACGCGCGCCGCCCGTGTGTGTTTTTTCCGAAAGGATCCGGTCGGACGAATTCGGAGAGAATTTTTGTATTATTACTACACACAGTGTGTGCACAAACACACGCCTGTGGGGGGGGGGGGACAGCTGGACCAGTGCGCGTCTCTCTGTCTCTCTGTGTTGTTATTAAGCTTTTTGCCATATTACGAAATTAGTGTTATTTGTTAATGCCAAAATGTCAGGGACTTTCGTGGACAGGATAGACCCCTTCGCTAAGCGATCTCTCAAGAAGAAAACCAAGAAGTCGCAGGGTTCCTCGCGCTACCGCAACTCGCAGGAATTGGAACTCCAGCAGCTGCCCATGCTTAAAGGTTAGTTTTTCCGTTGAATTTTTTTTACACTTGTTCCGAATATTGTTTTTCTTTTTCCTCTTTTTGGGGGGGGGGGGGGAGGGAAACCGTCTGTTTTCCGTTTTTTTTTTTTAACTCGAAAACGTGTTACTGATAGCGATGACGGCATCTATAGCAAACCTCTAACCTAACCTAACTTTTGCCTATCGTACGTGTTACACCGCAAACACTGTGTTCGGTCGAGGCTGAGAGCACTGTTGCGGATTCGCTGAAAAAAGAAAAACACACGAACACTGATGTCGAGCTATTTTACAATATATATATATATATATATATATTTTAATATATATATATATTTTTTTTTATTTATGTTATTAGATGTGACTCATATAAATTATACATGAAAACATTAAATTTTTGACGCGAGGAAAAAGAATCTCGTCATTTAAAAAGGAAAATGGAAAATGGTTTGAAAGCTTACATAAAACACATTGATAGCAATAGGTGTGCTAAAATCTTGCGTAATTATGCAAACTTTGCGCAAAAGATTGTTTAATTCAACATATACGAGTCTTCGAGTTCGCAATTTCAATATTTTGATTATCCGTTGAATTTGCTCACTTCTCAAATAACAATTTACACGAGATCGAAACTTTAAAGTTAAACGATGTGCATTTGATATGTACAGTTTAAGCTCTTCTCTTCCTAATTAATTGCGTTGCAATAAATGTGCGTCGGTTCCATCCGATTTTCCATCTTGTTCTTTTTTCATTTATTAATTTTTTCCGAATTGGGTCTGAGAGACCCAAAAGTCTGAGAGACCCAAAAATTTCACAGATCGATGTCTCTAGTTAAAATTATTATTATTATTTTTTAACGTTTGTATCCTCGAAACTACTAGATTTTTTAAATTCAGTTTTTTTTTTATCGACACAGAATTGTTCAAACTTTTGATTGAAAAAAAAAAAACTGAAGAAAATATTGATTTTTCGCGAAAAGATGTTTTGTGATTTTAAAAGTCGCGCAGGGTCTCAGTTTAGGCTGGGTAAAAGGCTGTTTTGGAACTCGCAGTCTCACGAAGAAGAATTAATTCAATAAAAAAAGTTCTCGAGCGATACGCGATTACAAATCTGTGTGTTCGGGTAACACACGTGTTCGAAATGCCATCCGATGCTAATGCACATTATTTATATATTTTCTCACGAGAGAAGCTCAAGGATATAATATCCTTGAAGGTTATTAAATAATTGGCAGAGAGCCTAAGTTTGTGTGTTCTTTTGACACTTGGGCAATCTCTCTCGCATCTCACCGTGTGTGCGCATCGATAAACAATTTACTATTCGTTCCTTTCAATACTTGAGCGCATCCGCTGTCGATTGACGAATCGTCGGTTAGTTGAGTAACGCGCACCATCAGCGTATACCAACAAATGTATTTCCATACATTATCATCAACAAAAGTTTGTTTCCTTTATCCCCTTCTCCTCAAGGAGAAACAACACATCTCGCGCAACAGTTCCTCGTAGTTGTTACCATTGATAGCATTTTTTTTTTTTGTTTGTACATTCGAGCGATTATTAACGATACTTAATAACGTGCAACCTGTTTTTTTTTTTTTTTTTGTTAGTTAACGAAGAAACGATAGATCATAAAAAATTGTTTATCACTACGTCACGTCACGTTACGTTTGTTGTATCAGAGAGATAACCGCCGAGATAACCTCACAATTCGCGCGTTAGTGTGTTTTCTGTATATATAGGTGCATTATCAGGTTAAAAATTCCACCTACTTGCGGAATTAATTAATTTCGCTGAATCAGCTAACACCCAAGCCGTGCGTTCCACACGTTTGCACTTTTACATATTAAGTATTATGACCGCGATGTAACATTTAGTTTTTTTTTTTTTTTTTTTTTTTTTTNTTTTTTTTTTTTTTTTTTTTTTTTTTATCGTTCGAACGTTTAGATGCAAATGAATGATACTCTGTTGTTTTTATAAGGACATAATTCTTTTTTTTTTTTTATAAAAGTGTCAGATTATCGTCAGACTTGATCCGCTGTATTGCACGGATTTACTTGACTCAATTTCACTTTTGAAAACTTTTGTTTATCGCTGATCGATATGTCAAATCAGACACTTGACGCGAGAAAAGAATAGAAGAGTACGTTGGAATATTTTTTTGATATCGTTTCGAGATATATGGACCGTACTTACGTTTTTTTGCAGAACTCGCGTGACGCGTCTATCGGAGGAATTTGTGTGCACGCGCGTTTTGTGTCTATCTAGCGCAGTGTTTTTTATATGAATGTATAAAATAATAATATACATGTTTGCATAAATTATACATATATACATATGGAATTCTTGGAAATAAAACAAGTACGCAATAATCGGAAAACGGAAAGATTGTTTTTACATAGTATTTTTGCATACTTGGAATTTTAATTAAATTTGTAACCGCACACAAGTAGAGAGAGAGAGAGGAAAAATACTGTAAAAAAACAAAACTAATACACAAAACTGATCGCGATGAGAACAATGTTTCTTTTACATGTAAAAGTTGAAATATTGGAAAAAAAAAACTACGATATTACGTAAAGATAAAGAAAAATATTGCGTAGACACTTGATTCTTGGTACATATGTAACGCGGAGAGAGAGAGAAAGAGTGAGAGGGAGGAAGAGAGGAAGGGAAGGAAAGGAGGGAGAGTGAGTGAGTAGATAAGTGAGTGAGCGAGTGAGTAGGTGAGTGAGTGAGTGAGAAAGAAAAATAGAAACACGGAAATATAGCGTTCCCGATAGTCACGTGGAGTTGCCGGCAGCTTTTTTTGTGATAAACGCGGAAAAAACAAATCAAGTAAAAGTAAACATCTCACTTTGAAAATAATTCTCGTGTTTCGAGTTGAAAGAGAAACGTTTGACAGAATGTAAAATGAAAAAGGAAGAATTTTGACCCGACATTTTTTTTGTCTTTGAAGAAGTTGACTTAGCGAATAAACAAAAAATTGTTCGATACTTTTTGCCGGTAACCATTCGCGGTATCGGTAGCAACGATATCATCGTTAGTTCTCGTTAATAATTTCTACGTGATTGTGAGATATCACAGCGATTTGCGCGATAGTTTGTTAAGTTCGATAATTTAATCGCGCGTCGCAAAAAGAAAAAACTGTGTGTCTCTTCGATCGACGAATACACTATATTCGATTACACACATACGCGTGTACATAAAATCGAAGAAGAAATTTGCGAGTAGAAATTGAAAAAACTTTTGAGAAACTAATTGAAGTGTACTTATGTTATTTTTTGCTCGCGTAATATTTTTTTTGTTTTTTTTTTTTTTTTAATCTGGCTCGAATTCACCGGATATTATTATTCTTTGTTGTGTATGCTAAAGACATGTATGACACACAAGATTATCGATACGTCAATTCACCATCGCGCATTTGTTATTCGTACGTAAAATTATAAGTTTAACGATCGGTAATGGAAGAGGCGACAACTCGGCGATAACAGAAAAAAATACGAGAGAAGAAATATGATTTCCTAATACGCGACGATAAAGAGACAAAGACAATGGGTTTTTTTTAGATTAGTTGCTTGTTCTTCAGAATCTTGTTCTGAAGAATTTTTCAAGATTGCGCGCACCGCGTTGCTCTAAAGATTGCATAAGTCATAATAAATATATATATATATAATTTGTATTTTGCGACTTCTACTTATTTCGAAATAAGAGATTTGTATGTGTGTATAAAAACGTGTGTGTCTCTTGTTTCAAAATAGATAATCGCTTGAAGAAAGACAGAGAAAAAAATAACGTAATCACAAGACTGACACCGTTGTTAGGAACGCGATTGAGTTCGCAAGTGTTCAATATCACTTTAACGGATTATCTTCTTTGTCGAGTTATCTACGCGCGAACAGCAGGTATATCATAACTACTGATGAAATTTGATACAACGCTCAAATATAAAGATATATACGTTCCGTCACACGTCGCTTGTGTGTTTTGATCATAGCGTCCCGGATTTTTGGGCGTTCTCAGATTTTCACAATTTCTTTCACAATGATCTCTTGAAATATTTGTTTTTTTTTTTTTATAAAGAAGATTGAAATGTGTCATTTTTGTTGTTGAGGTGTTTTCTAAGATAGCTTGACAACTTGAGACATGACGCAATCTTTTTATAATTAAGTTTTCAAACTTTTGGGTAAATATCGCACAAATTTTCTCATTTGTTTTTTCCTCGTTTTTGTTTATCGCCGTTTCGTTTTTTTTTTTTTTTTTGCGGTCACTTCATTAGCAGAAAATGATAAGAAGTGAAGGACATTCTAATTTAAAATATCTGTAAATATCTGTATTCATAAATACGTAAATAAGTGTCTGATTTGTAATTGTGAGATTAACATAATTGTTTTCAAAAACCGTTATATATATATATATATATCTTTAAAAAAGTATATTTAAATTGTTTGAATTTTTTTTTGTAATGTCACCGACGGTAAAATTATTTTCCTTTTTATTTTATTCTGTTAACTAACAAATACATACATCTATAGACGTATATAGTTATCTATCTTACCAAATGATTTGTCGTTTATTCTTGCCAAGCAAATATATTTCATAGTTTTTCTCGTTTCTTTAAAACGAAAATACAAGAATCTGTTTACCGCCTTATGTATTCTTGTTGTTTGACATAATAATTGAACAATTTGTTTACGTCATAAATTGCTCTTAGACTTATTTATTTAAAATATGTCTTTGTCGAATTAATATTTCAACTAAAGATTATATATATATATATATATACACACATGTGTGTGTGTCCTTTTCTCTTTCTATCTCTTTCTATCTCTTTTATTATCGGCTATAAACAGTCAAATGCGATAAATTACCGCAGCTCCCTTGAACACACTTGTACACCATGACGAACGTGCATTACGACTGCTCGTAAACAACAGGTGAGCGGAAACAAGGTAGAGGTAAGATCAAGAAAGTTCAGTCCGCACTCGGGCGGATCCGTGTCAAA